CCACTCAGAACATTCTAGCAATGTCTTGGCAACCAACACCCTAGTAACACCTTAGCAACCACCCAGGACAGCCTAGCAATGTTTTGGCAACCAACCAGGACACACTAGTGCCTTAGCAATCCCCAAGAACTCCCTAGTAACACCTTAAAAACCACCAGATCACAATATCAATGCCTTAGCAACAACCCAGAACGTGATAGCAACGCAGTTGTGTTCTGGGTCGCTTAGGCATTACCAGAGTGTTCTGAGTGGATGCTAAGGCATTACCCAGAACACCCTAGTACTGCCTTAGAAACCACCCAGTACACAATAGCAATGTCTTACACCGTGTCTAAACCGGGCCGCGCCGCAACATTGGCATCTAGTTAAGACATTCTGTCTTTGATTTGAAATCTTGTAGTTTAGTTTTAGTGTATTGATTTGTTTTCATTTCAGATCATCTCAAAGTCCCATTAGAGCAGTATGTCCAGTCTCTTGAGATTGTGCATGTCCTGAGGCAGCGTGAGAGAAAAGGTCTAATCGCTGCTAGACTGATGGGTGCACGAGAGGCTGGAGGAGAGGTGCTCGCCTTCCTGGACTCCCACTGTGAGTACATACTGTTGGCGTCTTTATATAGTGCAGCCCAACCTATGGCTTTCACATAAAAACTGAATTGGATGGAGGTCTCAAATCCAGTAGTGGCTCCTGACTGTAAGATTAGGTGGGGCAGGGTCTGGGTCTTAAAGTAGTCTAGAAACTCTGAAAAATATTGTTGAATAATGCTGAACCTATTTACAAGTTAACAATTTATGATATACCTCTATTTATAAACTGAATCAATGTTTTGAAGTGGATGAATATTTTGTTGATGCTGGCCTTGCTCCACCTGTCCGTACAGATGAGCCTTAGCTGCTCAAATCTTAGTCCTCTAAAAGGTTAATGTATTATATTCATACAGCTGTGAGGATATAAGGGAGAGAATGGTAAACATTAGTCTAATCGAGTTGAAATGATCAATAGGCATATTAGTCAACTTCCTAGACTGATTTTGTGCGTTTTCTCAGGTGAGTGTTTCTATGGTTGGTTGGAGCCCCTGTTGGCCCGGTTAGTTCAGGAACCTACCACAGTTGTGAGCCCAAGCATTGCTGTCATCAACAAGAACGATCTACAGTTCATTAAGCCAGTGATGTCAGGCCGCACACATACTCGTGGGAACTTTGACTGGATCCTGAGCTTTGGCTGGGAGACTATACCTGAAGAAGAGAGGGTGGAACGGAAAGACGAAACCTATCCCGTCAGGCAAATGAAACACAAATTTACACAAACAGAGACACCTTTCTCATAACACATTTTGATTTAAATTGCATTTATATTGCTGTTGCATATGAGACACCAGTTTTCGTGTGGTTTCATTTTTCATTCAGGACACCCACTATTGCCGGTGGGCTTTTTGCCATTTACAAGCAGTTCTTTGAACATGTTGGAACTTATGATGACAAGATGGAGTTTTGGGGAGCAGAGAACATAGAAATGTCATTTAGGGTAAGACCCTCTCACAGGTTTCTGTCTTTTGCATCCAATGAGTGAACTTTTTTTTTTTTTTTGATTGACCTTTTGACAACTGTTTATTCTAATAGTTTTGTTATTGTTAACGATTACAAATCATCTTCTTTAATTAAATTCATTAAATTTAATTCAAATTTTATATATATACACACACACATGGTATAAATGACAGCTGAAATAACGTACCAAAATCACTAAAACTGAAATAAAAAAATTTGAAAAATACAAATATACACAAATTAAACGGTACAAAAATTATTAAAAACTGAAAATATATAAATAAAAGATCATTCAAAATATTAAGAAATACTTGAATGTTATATAAATAATACAAAAACAACAACAATTGTTCACACTGTTCTGGTGTCATACATTATGTATTTGCTCTTGCAGGTATGGTTGTGTGAAGGTAGTCTAGAGATCATTCCCTGTTCTGTGGTCGGCCACATCTTTCGCACCAAAAGTCCACATTCCTTCCCAAAAAGCATAGATGTGATCGCACGCAACCAGGTTCGCCTCGCAGAAGTCTGGATGGATGATTACAAGAAGATTTTCTACAACAGAAATAAAAAGGCTGCTGCCATTGCAGCGGAGGTAAGAGAAATATTTAAATTACAATATTTTAGATTACAAACTCTTAATTGTACAGCTCACATATTTCTCTTCTACCTTTGAGGAGCACAGAAATCATATGGGGACATCAGTGAGCGTCTGAAGCTCAAAGAGAGGCTGCATTGCAAAAATTTCTCCTGGTATCTAGAAAACATTTTCACTGAGGCCTTTGTGCCCGATTTGAACCCTGTGCTGTTTGGATCGGTAATGTAGTGGTGTAATTTTGGATTAATTGCAATAGCTATTACCAGGAAAATATTAATTTTTTGTGCATATTGTGTCTGTAGTTGAAGAACATTGCCACAAACACTTGTCTTGATATTGGTGAGAAGAATCCTGGAGGGAAGTCAGTAGTTTTATTCATTTGCCACAACATGGGAATAAATCAGGTACTTTTATGATAACTGCTGTCATTCTCACTTTTTAAATTTTTTTTATTGGCCATTATTAATACTTTTACAAACATTTGTTTAGCTTGTTTGGCCAAAACTAACAAAAGCACACTGCAAATAAATAATAATAATTTTAATGCAATAATTAATAATATGTAAATGATAATATTAATAAATACTATAATAGTATACAAATAGCACTAAAATAATTTTAGTATTAAATCTTTTATTGGCCATTTTTCCTAGACTTTTTTTTTTCAAACATTTGTTTTGCTTTGTAGTATTTTGAGTACACGTCACATCAGGAGCTGAGGCATAATATTGATAAGCAGCTGTGTCTGCATGCGACGATCGAGCCTGAACCCGTGCGAGTGGAGCTGTGCAACTTTCAGGGTGAAGGAACCGTCCCAGCTCCACAGCAGACGTGGAGTTTCATTCTTGTTTCCCAACAGGTGTGGTACATGTCCTAACATCCCATTGCCACTGGCTGCATAATGTCACAAATAATCAATATACTATTATGGCACAAAATTATCCTATAATCCCAAACTTTTGTGGGTGTTATCTTATAGAGATTTGTTATCTTACCTTTTATACATTTGTAATTATTTGCAGATATATCTTGTCCACAGTGTTCTGTTTAGTAAGTGTTTAATGGTGGAGTATGGCAACATCATCATGAAAAACTGTGACCCTGCCAACAATTCTCAGCACTGGTCTTTCATCTGATATGAAGTCAAAAGGGGCTCATCCTCCATCAGATTATTTTATTATTATAATGTTTTTTTGGAATATTGTACAAAACCGAAGCGCGATGAATATTTAAACAAATGTTGCATCACTGTTTTGCTCTAATGTAAGTTTGTGCAATGTATCAGGAGTTATTACTTATTTGATTTATAAATCTGTCAAATGAAACGGAACTGATTAAATTAAACCTAACAATTGTGTTTCTCGTATTGAACGCTGATTAGTTGTAGCATTTGACCGCTGTATTTGTTAAATGAATGCTGGTGATGAATTAAAATGTCTTTTTGTAAGCAACGTGTGCAATGACTGGATGTACTTGTGCAATAAATTTAAGGGTTTGGCTATCTCTGAGTCAGGCTACTTAAAGGGTTAGTTCACCCAAAAATGAAAATTCTGTCATTAATTACTCGCCCTCGGGTCGTTTCAAACCAGTAAGGCCTTCGTTCAGCTTCGGATCTTGGTGAAGATCTCCTTGCTACGTTTCTGGACTTGGGAACATTTCAGTTGCGTTGCTGTCTATGGAGGGTCAGACAGCTCTCAGATTCCATCAAAAAATCTTAATTTGTGTTCCGAAGATGAACGAAGGTCTTACGGGTTTGAAACGACATGAAGGAGAGTAATTAATGACCGAGTTTTCATTTTTGGGTGAACTATCCCTTTAAACATCCAATCAAGTATATACATTAACGCAAGGTGGCGCTAATACAATAGAATAGAATTGAGTGTTCTGCAGTTGTTAACGTAATGCTGAATGTCTAAATCATTGAGGTAGCTTTATACCAAATATACGCGAATATGGTTACTTGTTTAATATTCATACTAATGCATTTGACATGGTACTGTGTGTACTATATGTTGGGCAGCTTTCAGGGCTGCACAATTAATCGAATTTCTAATCGCGATTACAATTATGAATAGCACTGACGCGCTATCAAAAAGTAAAACAAGGTAGTAGCTAACCTTTTTTTTATTTTTTTTTTTTTTTTTTTTTTTATAATTTAAAGAAACCAATCCGATGTATATTTGACATTTGAGGCTAAATACTATAGAAAAGCACTAAAGGTTTTTCAGTAAGTGTTCTCAGCTTGTTTATTTTCATATAAAAATACAGCATGCAGTTGCATCAAACAATGGTGTAAACATCATTCAATGTAAATTGTGATGATTGTAATTAATAATCGCAATTACAATTTCAAGGGAATAAATGACAATTATGATTTGTCATAATCGTGCAGCCCTAGCAGCTTTAGTAAAAGCTCTTTGGAGAACAGCTTTACATGCGTAATTTTTCAGTAGTGATAGACCTATTTATTTATTTAGCCGTTTTGAGGTTGGTGATGGCTAATTAACATGCATATAGTGTTATTTTGCTGTTTTTGTTGTCATTGTTGCATTATGTATATATCAGCATTCTCGTCCATCCTGATGTCTGTTATCTTCCAAAACATTATATATTAACTGCCCTGCCAACATTTTTACTGAACTATTTTTATTTTTATTTTTTATATATAATATTTTGTTCTTTTATTTTAGAAATATTTTTTGGCACATTTTAAAAATATAATTTAAAATTGTTTAACTTTTTCTTAAACCAAATGAAATTATTTTTAATAGAAATGATACAGCTGTAATATAATTCCAGATAGCTAAAAAAAAATATCATAAACCTACTTTTGATATGACTGTATGAACATGAGGACAACTTGAGATCTGTGGTGTAATCCTTTTCTGACCTCTTGACAGACAAGATGAGCCTTCCCCTCTCACGCTCTGAAGTGTTTGGGCGGCTGAGGAAAGAGCTACACGATGATGTGGAATTTCACCAGTCTGATGTTCATATCTTTATCATCATGGGTGCTTCGGTGAGTCTCCGTGTGTGTTTGTTTGTTTGTTTGTGTGTCTATTTAAATCTATCTGTCTCTACTAATGAGGAGTTGAAACCGTCTCATCTGCAGGCATGAATTGTCTCTTATTTTGTACACTTTACATCTATTGACAAACCAAAAATGTGTGTGAATTCATGTATTTGGGCTACTTTTTCTTTACAGTGCCTACATTTACATGCACATCAGTACTATATTAATCTGAAATAGCCAATGTTCTGAATATGTGTTCCCTAATCTAAAGTGTTACTCAGAAAATGTACCAATAAAAGCACGCTCCCCACAACTTCCCGGTTTGTAAAGCGCATTACAACTGGCACAGGTGCGCATACAGTTTCATCACCAGATTTCATCACACTTTCCATGATTGCATGTAGTTTGTAATGAGCATTTCCACATTCTAGAATTCGCCATTCTGTAAACTAAGTCCTTATTAGGGCTGCACGATTATGACAAAAGTCATAATTGTCGATTATTCCCTGGAAATTGTGATTTATTAATTATGACTATCACAGTTAACATTGAGTGACGTTTATACCATTGTTTGATGCAACTGCATGCTGTATTTTTATATGAAAATAAACAAGCTGAGAACACTTACTGGAAAAACCTTTAGTGCTTTTCTATAGTATTAAGCCTCAAATGTCAAATATACAGTACATCGGATTGGTTTCTTTAAAATATAAAAAAAAGGTACAGAATGAATGGTATTATAATGTTATACTAAAACAATGGAAAAACCCTTAAGATAACATGTAGAAAGAAAAAAACTTATCATAAGCGTGCAGAATAACATAAGTGGACTTTGAACGATTAATTGCCACTTTGAACAATTACGTAATTGTGGCATCCATAAAAATTCGATTAATTGTGCAGCCCTAGTCCTTACTGCAAACTTTCATCCCCTTGCTTTTCTTCTGTTGCTCTAGTTACATATTACTGCATGTGTGTATTAATGATTGTGCCATGCTTTCCATTTCATGGTGGTGTTGTTGGGATTGTTGGAGATAAGAAGTGTTAGAGTCCTAATTAAAATATTGTGAAAACTAGGGAGGTAACAATTCACACAACTCGCAATGTGAGACAATTCACAATACTTATTTGATGATAGTTTTCCCACAATTTGAACAAAATGAGATTTAAGAGAAATTCTAAATGAAAAGAGTGCTTTTATTATTTCTCAGACAAAATGCTAAATTTAAATGTTAAAACAAATCCTAAATAAATATAAAATATTTTCATATAAACAAACTAAGACTTTGCCGGTGCTCCTTTTCATTACAAATTAGAGGCAACCATTGCATTTTAATCACAATTCTAACAAAGATGATGCGTACATGCAACATGGGCTTGATTTAAGTCAGATTGTATAATTTTGAAATTTGAAGCAAAAACAGAATGGATTTAGCCAAAGACTGTAGAATACCCAAGACGTGTCACTCGTATAGTTTTAAATGGGGAGAAAAATTCAACACTCAATATGGCCGCTGTATCGAACGAAGCCCCGCCTTCTGAGCAAAAGAGCCAATCGCTAACTGGTAAAGTCATTGCATCACTGCAGCTGCCGTTAGAAGTCCTGGTTGCTATAGAAACAGTAAGAGTTCTGAGACATGCGCTTAGTACTGTGCATGCGCACTGGCTGGTCTAGCCTGAAAAATAAACTTTTTTCAATGCTATTTGAGCAAAATGAACCACTTTTATAAGAGAGTTGTTGTCAGATTTAATTGGTGATTTCAATCATAGGGTGGAAATCTGGGGGTACACGCTGTCTCTAAACACCGCAGTTTAAAACGACTGATTTTAGGCCGTTGAAACGCTAACAGAGCTATATGCGCGCGCTGTCTCTAAACACTACAGTTTAAAACGACTGATTTTAGGCCGTTGAAACGCTAACAGAGCTATATGCGCGCGCTGTCTCTAAACACTACAGTTTAAAACGACTGATTTTAGGCCGTTGAAACGCTAACAGAGCTATATGCGCGCGCTGTCTCTAAACACTACAGTTTAAAACGACTGATTTTAGGCCGTTGAAACGCTAACAGAGCTATATGCGCGCGCTGTCTCTAAACACTACAGTTTAAAACGACTGATTTTAGGCCGTTGAAACGCTAACAGAGCTATATGCGCGCGCTGTCTCTAAACACTACAGTTTAAAACGACTGATTTTAGGCCGTTGAAACGCTAACAGAGCTATATGCGCGCGCTGTCTCTAAACACTACAGTTTAAAACGACTGATTTTAGGCCGTTGAAACGCTAACAGAGCTATATGCGCGCGCTGTCTCTAAACACTACAGTTTAAAACGACTGATTTTAGGCCGTTGAAACGCTAACAGAGCTATATGCGCGCGCTGTCTCTAAACACTACAGTTTAAAACGACTGATTTTAGGCCGTTGAAACGCTAACAGAGCTATATGCGCGCGCTGTCTCTAAACACTACAGTTTAAAACGACTGATTTTAGGCCGTTGAAACGCTAACAGAGCTATATGCGCGCGCTGTCTCTAAACACTACAGTTTAAAACGACTGATTTTAGGCCGTTGAAACGCTAACAGAGCTATATGCGCGCGCTGTCTCTAAACACTACAGTTTAAAACGACTGATTTTAGGCCGTTGAAACGCTAACAGAGCTATATGCGCGCGCTGTCTCTAAACACTACAGTTTAAAACGACTGATTTTAGGCCGTTGAAACGCTAACAGAGCTATATGCGCGCGCTGTCTCTAAACACTACAGTTTAAAACGACTGATTTTAGGCCGTTGAAACGCTAACAGAGCTATATGCGCGCGCTGTCTCTAAACACTACAGTTTAAAACGACTGATTTTAGGCCGTTGAAACGCTAACAGAGCTATATGCGCGCGCTGTCTCTAAACACTACAGTTTAAAACGACTGATTTTAGGCCGTTGAAACGCTAACAGAGCTATATGCGCGCGCTGTCTCTAAACACTACAGTTTAAAACGACTGATTTTAGGCCGTTGAAACGCTAACAGAGCTATATGCGCGCGCTGTCTCTAAACACTACAGTTTAAAACGACTGATTTTAGGCCGTTGAAACGCTAACAGAGCTATATGCGCGCGCTGTCTCTAAACACTACAGTTTAAAACGACTGATTTTAGGCCGTTGAAACGCTAACAGAGCTATATGCGCGCGCTGTCTCTAAACACTACAGTTTAAAACGACTGATTTTAGGCCGTTGAAACGCTAACAGAGCTATATGCGCGCGCTGTCTCTAAACACTACAGTTTAAAACGACTGATTTTAGGCCGTTGAAACGCTAACAGAGCTATATGCGCGCGCTGTCTCTAAACACTACAGTTTAAAACGACTGATTTTAGGCCGTTGAAACGCTAACAGAGCTATATGCGCGCGCTGTCTCTAAACACTACAGTTTAAAACGACTGATTTTAGGCCGTTGAAACGCTAACAGAGCTTTATGCGCGCGCTGTCTCTAAACACTACAGTTTAAAACGACTGATTTTAGGCCGTTGAAACACTAACAGAGCTATATGCACACGCGGTCTCTAAACACCGCAGTTTAAAACGACTGATTTTAGGCCGTTGAAACGCTTACAGAGCTATATGCGATATAGCCTATCCTCATAAACAGTCATTTAGGTCTTAAGGGAACGTAAACAGTTGCGAGAGAAAGCGCATGTGTAACAGTATATTGGATCCGGTCTTCGGTCTTAAACGGTAAGCTGTCCAGTATTCGTTCTGTCTGCCATTCATGTTAATCAAACAACAGTGAGAGAAAATCTCTCACTGCTCCTGACTAAATCACTTTTGTGAACTAGAATAAAAAGAAAAATAAATAAATAATGCTAATAATTATGCCTATATATATATATATATATTCACATACAGTGGGGCAAAAAAGTATTTAGTCAGCCACCAATTGTGCAAGTTCTCCCACTTAAAAAGATGAGAGAGGCCTGTAATTTTAGAGGAGATCTGGATGGAGGAATGGGCCAAAATACCAGCAACAGTGTGTGAAAACCTTGTGAAGACTTACAGAAAACGTTTGACCTCTGTCATTGCCAACAAAGGGTATATAACAAAGTATTGAGATGAAATTTTGTTATTGACCAAATACTTATTTTCCACCATAATTTGCAAATAAATTCTTTAAAAATCCTACAATGTGATTTTTCTGGATTTTTTTTTTCTCATTTTGTCTCTCATAGTTGAGGTATACCTATGATGAAAATTACAGGCCTCTCTCATCTTTTTAAGTGGGAGAACTTGCACAATTGGTGGCTGACTAAATACTTTTTTCCCCCACTGTATATATATAAAAAACTTACACAGTGAAGACTAATTTACACAATGTATTTCTTATTTATTGTAGTTTTTTGTCCTATTGCTTGTAATTAGTTTCTTATCCTTATTTCATCACTGACTGTTTATTTATCTCCAGTGAGCTTTTTTTTGGTATTTTCTTTTATTATTTTGATATCGACATTGGTGATGAGGATTATGAAAATTCTATGGTATGACAGATTTTAATATCATAAAAACCTTATTAAAAGAAGAAGAAAAACCACAACTATATCGTTATCGTGATACAAGATTTTGGTCATATCACCCACCCCTACTCATTTTGTTCAGAATTTTACTAGTCTGTTTTTACACTACTGCTTTTGTGAAACTATCTTTGTTATTGTTGTTGCTTTTCCTGTTCTTATTGTTTGGCTTTTTAAATAGGTGCTAGTGAGCTGGATTATGCAATATCACTCTCTGTCAGCACTTTCCTTTCAGTTGGTGTGAATGGAGAGAGGTGAAAGAGCTGGCTTGTGTTTGGGATGGGGGTGCAGTCAGAAAGATGGTGGAGATGATATGCATGGCCGGGTCTGGATTGTTGGTTGGCATGGTTTCCACAGGTTTATGGCATAATATTAAGTCCATTCAGAAACCATGTCAAAATGCAGATGCAACATCACCTCAGTTGTCTAACCTTGAGCCACTTAGATTCAGTGCATCGACCCCCAGCCATCCTGTCAAATTACCAAATTTGTACCTAACTTCATTTTATAGGCAGTTTGTGAGCATTCCGGTGTGAGTAGTTGTCATTAGCTATGTAGCTTTGCAAATTACACTCCTCATTATAATTAAAAACACGCTAGGGTCATTTTTTTATTTAAAAAAAAAAAAATGTATATAGAAATTCTGTTTCATTTGCATGTGGAGTGTGCTCATCAGTTGCCATTATATAATGATGACAACTTCATCTTATAATAAAGACATTTTCCACAAATCAGACAAAGTAACAGAATTAAGCTAGGCCTTTATCTTCATATTTTAATCAAGCAAATCATTAAAGCAAATGTGCCAAAAAAAGTGTTTAAATGGAATGGACAGGAATATCTCAAAATATTGTCTTGTGCAAAAATATATATATTTTATATTTTGGATTACACATTTATGAATTATTTAGACTACCATTTAAAAGTTTGTAAGAAGTCTCTTATGCTCACAAAGGCTTCATTTATTTGATCAAAATACAGTAAATATAAAACAGTAATATTGTGAAAATATTATTACATTTTAAAATAACTTTTCTATTTGAATAAATGTTAATGCAATTTATTCCTGTGATTCATATCTGAATTTTCAGCATCATTACTCCAGTCTTCAGAAATAATTCTAAAATGATGATTTGCTGCTCAGGGAAACATTTCCTATTATTAATGTTGAAAACAGTTGGGCTGCTTCATAGTTTTGTGTGTGTGTGTGTGTGTGTATATATATATATTATTTTTTTTTTCTGAAATGTTTTTTAACTTTATATGCTCAATCAACATTAATTTGTTGTCAGTACTACAGAAAAAAATAAATATAAATAAAAAAATCTGGTGCCAAAAAATAGTATATTGGGTTTAATTGTAAGTAAATAAATAAGCTGTTTATATGTATTATCGGCTTCCACCAACAATTGTTTAATATGTTTTAGGACGGACTTGTTTTACTTTGTCATGTGACTTATCGGTTTAATAAGCTGCTTAAGTGATTGAAACGGAAACCCCAGGTTTTGAATGCATTACTGTACCTTTACTTTTGTTTTTTGTTTTTTTCCCCCAAATGTGGCTTGCATTGTATTCAACTTACCGTTTCATGCACTTCCCTGGAAATCAGTCCCATGGCCTTAGCATCATGCTCTACGGTTTACACTGTCTTCACTGAGATTCCTCAGTTATGAACAAAAACAAGTCCCTTCTCTTTTGGAATGTTGAGTCACTATCAGAATAATTACATACAGTTTCTCTGGCTGCTTAATTTTGTGTGTTTGTTTTAGTTTAATAATGCAATGCTAAAAGGTCATGGATGAATTTTTGTCAAGTCACGATTACGGAGTGCCTTTTCCCTTTTTTTTTATTTTTATTTATTTATTTTTTTTTTTACCATAGCACAGCAGCAGGAGCGACTAATAGAATAAATAGCTAACTGATATATTTACTAATATCCCCCAATAATGCATATCTGGAGAGATGGGACTCTCCCACAATGCCATAAATCAGCCAAGACAAACAGAATAGTGCTGTCTCACCGTGCACAGAGCGTTTCTCATGTGTCTGAATGGGTGTGGAGCAGATCTGCTGAGATCAACGACCTTTGCATTGAGAAGATTGAATCACATGGAGCAGGGATGGGTCGACTGTTATTTTAAGCTACATTGTATCTTGTTCTTGTGTATTTTGCATTTATTATTTAGTTATCTTTATAATATGTTTTTGTAAAATGAGTCACTGTGTTCCACGGAAATTATGGCTGTTCCCTAGGTTTTTATTCCTCTTCAATCACCGTGATTCATGGTGATAGTTGACTCTAATCAGACTATACTCTATTAATAAAAATGACTACATGGCTTGACTTACAGGCACCATTAAATAGTTTAACAAATGCAGATTGCTTTCCTTTTGCAGATGTATTTATCCTGAAAAACTACACGACAAAAGCAATGAAGTCACTTTCAGAATAAATGTACTGTATGTCAGTAACTTCCTTCTCAACCAAGTGTTGATGTGACTTGCTGGTTTGTGGCAGGTGATATTAGAGGGGCATTATTACCCTAGACAGCATTTGTATATACCAGTGCAAACCGTATGAATCATCAGTATTTGTATTGTGACTTTTAAATGCACATTTGCTGTTTTATTTGGTCAACTATGGGTAAAAATAGAAACGCACATTTAAAACAAACAAACAAAAAAAAAGTAAAAAATAGATAAAGTGTCATCGAGCAAAAATAGAAATGTGAGCAAAGACAAAAGTTGGCACTTCACGGCTCCTAGAAATAAATAATTTATCATACTCCTTCTCAGTTTTCAGAAGTACAGCAAGCACAGGGGTTTTCTTATGTACTGTAATGATCTCTTTGTGAGGGACCCCTTTCATTAAAATATAAAGGCAACTATACATGTCTACAGATCCATTTATGCACAATATAAAAAAACATTTATGCATGAATCATGATATTATTTTGAAATGCTGTATCCAAAATAAAATGTATATTGCTTGTCATTGTACTAAATATTGTTCCACAACAGCTTTACAGAAAATATTTGGTGAGAAGATGCTCCTTAAATCTGTTTATTTTTATTTATATATATATATATATATATATATATATATATAAGAGAGAGAGCTCTGATATACAGCATTGAATTTACATAAACATGATGAGATTTTGCCCAAACTATTTGCTCTGGAGCAAATAATAGATTAATGAGACCAAAGACTGCCCATTAGATTTACCCAAAACGAAATGCATCTAATTTTTAACCACTATAGAGTCATCAGAGCCAGCGGCAGATTCCAGAAGATCTGGCTGAGGTGAGGCGCTCTCGGCGGGTTTGAGCGCTGAAGGACAGCTGACGGCCTGGAGCTCACATCTCCGAAAACGTCGAAGCAAATTTTCAAATAGACATCATCTTTCTTAACAAATCGCATATCTGAAGTCCAAACAAGTGCATTCTCGCCTAAAAAAACTCTTTCAAGCTATATTCCGTGACACAAAACAGTATTATTTTTTTAAATTATAGTGGATTATGGCTTCCGCTATGACACTCGATGTGAGAAATACGCCTACTTTACCATTACAAACGGTGGAACGGCTGTTGGAGTTCTGTTGGACTCTAATATCACCTCTTATCAGCCAATCATATTCAAGGACCAGAAAGAACTGTGTGTGTGTATATGTATGTATGTGTGTGTATGTATATATATATATATATATATATATATTATAAAGCTGAAATAAAATATAAATATTAGATGAAAAGTTTCATTGGCAAATATCTGAAATTAAATAATTTTAAGTACTAAAACTAATACAAAAATCATTTAAAGCTGAATATAAGTATTTAAACAAACTTAGTAAAAAAACAAACAAAAAAAACCACTAAGGGCCAGATTTACTGAATAGGGTGAATTGGCACGAGAGCACAATTTCAAAACGGCGCAGATGGTGTGGAAATTTCTGCAGGTGATTTACTGACAACGCGCAAATTAAAGAACACCAACGCAACATTTGAAAACTGAAAATTTAAAAATAAAAGCTAATTCAAAATGTTAATAAATAATCTAATAGTATATTAATAATTCTAAAATACCGCTGGCGAGATACGAGGTGTAGATTCTATTCAGTTTGCTGATAGTCTGTGTATATGAGTTTGCCCTAGCAAAGGCATTTTTCAAGTGCAGCATATTTCTTGTGTTTGTATGTTTGGTAGAGGCTGGAACAGGATCATCGTGGAGAAGCCTTTTGGACGTGACCTGCAGAGCTCAGAGGAGTTAACCAGTCATCTCTCTTCTCTCTTCACTGAGGACCAGATTTACCGTATAGACCATTACCTAGGCAAAGAGATGGTCCAGAACCTCATGGTTCTCAGGTGCGGCTCTTTCCCTTTTTCATCCCTGTCTGCCTGCTCCTTTCGCTGGCTGTCACACACAGTTGTCATTTATGCATAATTAAGGGTTAAACTCCACCAGGAATCTCTTCATCTGTATCTGTCTCATTAGTCACAGTTTTCTTTCCTATTTTCTCTACAGGTTTGGAAACCGGATATTTGGCCCCATATGGAACCGGGACAGTGTGGCATGTGTGGTTCTGACCTTCAAAGAGCCGTTTGGTACCCAGGGCCGGGGGGCTTGTGTTTTTTTCCCCTGTCTACTGCAGAGTTGTTTTTATTTTATTTATTTTTGTGTGTGTGTGTGTGTGTGTGTCGACTAAATACTTTTTTCCCCCACTGTATAAAGGTTTGACCTTAAATGAGAAGCTTTACAAACCCTTTGTTCTTGAAATTGAAATAGTTTTGTGGCTTAAAATGCAAAATTCTGTTACTGTTCAGAAGTTTATAGTTGGATTTTTAAAAATGTTTTTAAAAGACGTCTCTTGCTCATCCTTTGTGATAAAAATACAGTAAAAACGGCAACATTGTGAAATGTTAATATAATTTAAAATGGCTGTTTTCTGTTTTAATACATTTTTAAAATGTATTCATTTCTGTGATGGTAAATCTGAATTTTCAGCATCGTTACCCCAGTCTTCAGTGTCACATGATCCTTCAGAAATCATTCTGATATGACATACAGAAAGAACAGCATTTATTGGAAATAGATTTTTATTTTGTCAATTCATTATTTTGATCAATTTAATGCTTCCTTGCTGAATAGAAGTATTAATTTCTTTCAGTAATGGCAAAAGAACATTTTACTGACTCAAAATTGAACAGCAGTATATACCTGACAGTCTTTCTCTTCCTGAATGTGTTGATATTTTATTAAACAATTTGATTACCCCGTCTCTCTCTCCAGGAGTTCCCTTCGTCCTCAGGTGTGGAAAGGCTCTGAATGAGAGGAAGGCAGAGGTGAGGCTGCAGTTCACAGACGTTCCTGGAGACATCTTTAGCTCTCAGTGCAGGAGGAATGAGTTGGTGGTGCGTGTGCAGCCCAACGAGGCCATCTACGCCAAGATGATGAGCAAGAAACCCGGAGTCTATTTCAGCCCTGAGGAGACCGAGCTGGACCTGACCTACCACAGCAGATACAGGGTAAAACAAACACCTTTCATCCATTCACACTCGGTTTCTTTTGTCCTAGTTGGCAACTTTGACTAATAATATGTGGGAAATAAGAAATCTTTATTAAAGTTACTTCCTTTTCTCTTTATAAATGTGCTTTTCTCTTTTCAAAGGACGTTAAGCTGCCTGATGCCTACGAACGTCTGATTCTGGACGTCTTTTGTGGCAGCCAAATGCATTTTGTACGAAGGTGCGTTTCTTACTGTGATCTCTACAGTAATGTAAATGTAATATGTTGTTGTAATAATCCTGAAACAACCATTTCTGAATTTGACTTATTTTATCAAAGTGATGAGTTGAGGGAAGCCTGGAGAATCTTCACTCCTCTTCTTCATCAGATAGAGAAGGAGAAGACGCCACCTGTCAAATACAAATACGGAAGGTAAAACATGCGTTTTTTTTTTTTTTAGTGAAGTGATGTGTAATATCTCTCACATTTTCTCTGGCTCTCTCATAGCCGTGGTCCTGCAGAGGCTGATGAGCTGGTACAGAAGGTGGGCTTCCGCTACGAGGGTACGTACAAATGGGTGAACCCGCACAAACTGTGAAAGAAGAGGACGACAGAAATGAGGAGCTTGAAGCCTTTTAAAAAATCAGCCCAAGATGAGTGCCTGAAATAAGAGAAAAGGGCACTTAAGTATTTGAAGATGCACTCTGCATTTAAAGAAGGACCAACAAGATTAGCAAACTTTTTTTTCCCTTTTTTTTTTTTTGGGATGTTATTAATTATAACCAGCTCAATATGATATATAATGCTTTATAGGACATTTCTCATTATTTTGTTCTATATTTCATTGGACTGAACAACATTTACAAATTTTTTTTTTGATTATGCACTTGAGCATCATTATGATATTCATACAAATTTTATACTGTGCTGTCATTCCCTTTATTTTTTATTCTTGAAGAAAAGCACAGCTTCTGTTGTGCATTCCTCTTTCCACAAGCAAAAGTCTTAACATAAAATGCTGCTCACATTTCAGAAGTGGTATAAAAGTATTTTGTTGCATTTTTTTTTTTCTTGTGGCAAGCTTGTATAAATCTAAAATGAAATGCTATAATTAGACCACACAAAAGAAAGATTCCAGAAACCTACAGGGATTAGGATTCCAATGCATGCATGTCTATGACATTTTACCATGTCTTAAGGTTTCAATTGGCTTAATGAGCCATGAATATGTTTAGTCTTATTAAAGCAGATGTATTACATTCCACATCTCTCTGAAAATAATTTAATAGATGAGATTTAATGTTTGTTGCCTCATTTGGGTATGGTCTCTTTCTGCTCGCTATTGCTTTTGGTTTCAGTACTATTATATACACACTGAAACAGTGTCTATAAACAACTTTGTTAGTCAATGTATTGTGAGGGTGAGTTTTTGACAGCTCTGAATTTCAACATCCTGACAGGGTGCCTATAACAAAAGATTTATTTATCAGTAGATTTGGGGAATAACTGCTTGTCTGGCTTTTGTAATGCATTTTTAATTTCGGGTTTCTTTTTTTTTTTTGGCTGCTTCAAAATATATATTTAACTTTTCTGTAAAAGTTCTGCCCAGTGTTTTCTATTTTATTATAATAGACAACTACTTTTACAATAAAGCGTAGTTAAGATGCCTCACATGTCTCATTGCTTTTTATTCATCTGGTTCTTTCATGTTCCCTTAATGTCTTTGGCTTGTTTCAGTACAGCCAATATTGCAATAAAATGACTGAGCAAGTAGTCTTGGAAAAGTCATGGGGATTTCTGTTTTGAATATAGATTTCTCTGACACTCCGTCAGTTTTTGTTTGTTTATGGAGACTTTAGTACAATTGTTTAAATTAGTGCTGTCAAATGATTAATCGCATCCAAAATAAAAGTTGTGGCTGTCTCAAAACCCATTTAGGCATCGTTGACGCGTTCGATGAGGCACTGAAAGTATTAAATATTATTTGTCTTTTTATTATATCTACGTTTTGCTTGACTCATACACGCTCTGCAGTTTAATAGTTTTTAAAGGGACCGTGTTCTGTAACGTTGCTTTTGTAGAAAAGTATGTAATGCATTAGATTGAAAAGCTGTCAGCTGTTAAATATAAGTACACAATTAGATAATACCAATTTAGGTCAACCTATTACCAAGCAGTGCTTAATTTTGTTCAGTCTGTGGTGTAAAAAGGTCGCATTAGCAATTAAAGAAAAACACTTAAGCAAAACATGGTTAGGTCATAGTGTCTGAATACTTTTTGATCCCAAATTTTACTGGTAGTCCACTGTATGAAGACTTTTTGGGTATAATATGTCACAGTTCACTTTATTTTGCTATCCTCACTTACATAAATGAACTATATATATATATATATATCAAAAATGATATCTGGTGTCTAAATCATTTTTTGTCTTTTCTCTAAAGTACACTTATGTCAGTCAAGCACCAAAACAGTCATAGTTTAGTTATACATGACTATTTTCCAGCTTCTCTCTGAATATTAGAATTAGTTTTGGCTAATGTACTTAATGTGAATGATTCAGTATTACTGCAGGTGGCAGGTAGAGAACAGCTTGACTCAATTCTTTTCTCTCTTCATGTTTCCAGCCAGAGGATCTGATGAACATGCAGCACTGCAACCTGCTGTGTCTTCCAGAGAACTATCAGATGAAGTACTACTTCTACCACGGCCTGTCCTGGCCACAGGTCTGAGACTGACACGGATCTTTATATAATCACTTATTATCATATGCTGAGCTGCTTTACTGAACAGCTGTGTTTGTTTTCCAGCTGTCATACATAGCAGAGGATGAGAATGGGAAGATAGTGGGATATGTTTTGGCTAAAATGTAAGTTTGGTTTTTCTTTATTGCTTTCATGTGTGAAATGTCCATAAAAGCTCCAAGTTGTTAAAGGGGTCATATGATGCTTTTTTTTAAAGATCATTATTTTAATGTAACGCCCCTTACCATAATTGCGAGCTTCATATTTAAAAATAAATGTAAAGACAGTAAATAATGTCATTAGTTTTACCATCAGTTCAAGCCCGAAAGGGGAACAGAGTCGTGTGAAAGACACAGTGATGAAGCTGGTATGTGTTTGCAGTACACAAGCCACAGTTAAGACAGTTGACTCCACTGTGATGTGACCCTGTGTCTCTCTCTCTCTCTCTCTCTCTCTCTCTCCCCTCCTTTAAAAAAATTAGAGCGGGCTAAATTGGGTTCACCTTCAAAAACTAAAACGCTACTGGTAGCTTTTTTATTTTTCTCATGTATTCTCATATACAGAATCTCAGATTCATTGTCACTAATTAGCAAGTTTACTCGCTCGAAAACACATTACACTTACCAGTTTGCTTCCTTAATCAGTGGCGAATGCTGGTAGAGCGGTTTATTTTTACAAAACAAATCACCACTGTGCAAAACACTTACCTTTTCCTGATGTGCAGTTGCAGAAACCAGGTGTTCGCCTGTGGGGCTCAGAGGCTTCACCATCTCAGGACACATCTGTTACTGGCCTGGTGGAGAAGCTGACGGTGCAGGATGGAGAGAAGGAGGGAGATGGAGACAGCGGAGGAGAGAGTAAAGAAATGAGTGAGGTCAGCGAGGCCACGGAGAGCACAGACGTCAAAGACTCCTCGTCAGACTCTTAGCTCACATCTCTGTGTGTTCACACCCATCATATAGGTTTCAAATCAGTTTAGTGTTTATATGCTCTGATGCTTTTATTTTCAGAATACAGAAGAGTGACCTTGTAAAAGCGGTTCACAACTATGAAATTATTTGTGAGGAGATTTGTCAATAAAATTGAAGAGTAAAGAGCTTTTGCGGTTGTGTCATTATTTTGCCAAAAACAAAAACATATTTTTTATAATTAGTGTGAAATATATGGCTAAGAATAGGTAGTTAGATTAAAACTTTTCTTAACATTTCTGTCTTAAAAGCTATTGAGAATGAATGACCCATTTTACTTCTGAAATCTGAGGAGCTGGTAAAAACGGATTTGACGAAAATGTGTAGTGTGGAATGAGTCCATCAATATTTTTCCTTTGAAAAAAAATCTGTGAAAATACGTTTTGTCAGAGATTAGTGTTATGCCAACATAGAGATTACCTTGAATGCAAACAGACTAAACGCCAAAAAAAAAAAAAATTATTGCTGCGGCGCCTTTAAGACTTTACCGCGCTTAGCCGCGCTCATACTTGACCTAGTCTTTTCTGTCAACTTAAATATACGTTTAAACTTCCATTCTTCGAAAACAGCGTCTTTACAAGATGCATTACATTGCGATATATTAATAAAACAATCTTCGATGAAGTGTGTCGCATAAACTGTTAAAGCCACACTGACATAAACAGGGACCTTGTTAAAAGCGAACGCATCTTTGGGAGGCTGTGCAGAGCGACAGATGAGAGGCTTACCAACAGCCGGAGATAGCACACGGTTTGGCAAACGTTTCCTCATTTTCTCACTTCTGGTGTTTGTGAAGAACAGCATATATATCCCACTTCATCTTTATCACTGTGACCGGGTTCGCCCAAAAGTTATTGACTGCTAAATACAGGCCTTGCGAAAACGTGTGTGGGGCCCCCTGTATATGTGGGTGTTGTGGGTGGTTAAATAATGTTACTGACAGGCTCATTGCTGTCAAACTAACATCTTGTTCATGTCTAATCTACCTGGATAATATAGGCTACTTTTAAATAGGGCGAGATTTCACTGTGGTCCGGCAAAAGGCAGTAAAGTTATAATATTGGCAATTCATTTTGCATAATCATATTAGTGCTGGGCGTCTTCAGCAATTCACATGTCATGGGCCCTTTGGTGGATATAGATTTGAAAGTCTTTTTTTGTTCAGAACTGAGAATTGTAAGCTTGGCATACATGCTTTTAGTGGGCCCACCCATCGGAGGAAATCCGGATAGGATTGTCCTATCTGAGTGTTGCCCCCCCTAAAAAATTTGATTAAAAACCAAGCTGTGGATTGTAAATAACAATGCTTTATACTTTAAATAATTGTGTAAGTAGTAAAGCAACGCAAACGGGGCAAAAATGTTTTATACATTAGGGATGGGCGATACCCCTTATTTTGTTTTCGATACGATACCGATATTTTTCAAGGCAGTATCGTCGATACCGATTCGATACTTCTGCACTAAACTTTTAAATTATGAAATGTATTAAATGATTAAATTACTAAGAGTAAAATGGGTAATGAAAGCCACTTAACTTTGTTTAAAATGCATTTTAACCCGTTTAATCCCAAATTTTTCCCAGACATGAAAATATCCAAATGATGCGTCGTTATTTCAACCCTTTGAAATAATCAATAATTTTACATTTTCTTTGGAAAAGTGTGTGAAAATTTTTATTTTATGGTCAGTCAAAATTGTAACCGGTGGGATAATGTGTATACTGAATTAACATATTTCTGCAGTCTTAAAAATTGGTATATATCTTAGCCCAGCTATTTTAAACTGTTGATCACATTCTAGGGTTACTATTATGCATTAAAAAACCCTTATACAACATTGACAGGAATACTGAGATCAAATACGGAAAAATATAACCATCAACGTATTTCAAAATTTTTACTTTTTTGTAACATATATCATCACATTTTTATATTAGTGCTACCAGTATTACAACATTAATACTCTAAATTATTTGTAACATTTGAACTTTTGATTTAGTGCAATATTTTGTACTGCCATTAAGGACTGCCAGTGACAGGCTGTTGCATGCATTAAATGCAATCTTTTTATTCTGACAGTGTATGATTTCTATTAACATTACAGAATAGAACATGATCAATATTATCTTTCAACGTTCAATTTAAATAATTGTAATTGCACAAACTATGTAGGCTACAATTTCAATTTGTTTATTGTGAAATAACTCAAACATTTATGTTTTTTTTCTGTCCTCTGATAAGCATTGTTCAGGGCTGCCATTCCCAAAAGCTTTAATGTTTTCTTATGATACGTTCACATTCTAGGGTTACTATTATGCATTAAAAAACCCTTATACAACATTGACAGGAATACTGAGATCAAATACGGAAAAATATAACCATCAACGTATTTCAAAATTTTTACTTTTTTGTAACATATATCATCACATTTTTATATTAGTGCTACCAGTATTACAACATTAATACTCTAAATTATTTGTAACATTTGAACTTTTGATTTAGTGCAATATTTTGTACTGCCATTAGGGACTGCCAGTGAATAAAAAAATGCAACCTTTTTATTCTGACAGTGTATGATTTCTATTAACATTACAGAATAGAACATGATCAATATTATCTTTCAACGTTCAATTTAAATAATTGTAATTGCACAAACTATGTAGGCTACAATTTCAATTTGTTTATTGTGAAATAACTCAAACATTTATGTTTTTTTTCTGTCCTCTGATAAGCATTGTTCAGGGCTGCC